AGGCTAGAATCTTCCCGGTAAGCGCACATTGGGGTGCTTACACACATTATTAGAAATGGGCTAGTCCAGGTGCGAGAATTAGCCTGTAAGGGCTAGAGTTCATGGGCCAAGCAGTTCTTAAATGAATACAGTTTGTGTGTTGTTATTTCGGGCATGAGCTAGCCAAGCGGCCGGGGTGTTGGGGACGCAGCCCCGCCGCTCATATTTCAACAGAGAATCAGTCATGAGTCATCTGCATCAAGCCCACACCTCAATTCTAGGGTCCAAAGACACCAGAGCAGAGGGGTTGAAAGAATGTTAAGAGCTGGAGGACAAGGAGGAGAGCTGTGAAACACTGCCTTTTGCACACTAAGTCACAGGAAGTAGCTGTGGTTGCCTGCTTAAAACTCTGTCAGTAAAAATTCTCATGGACAGGAAAGTGCTGTCCAGGCCCAGCCTTGCTGGGAGAACTACTGGAAGTTCATAGCTGCTGAGGAAAAAGTCACTTTTCTTGGGGTCGAGGCTGTAGGAGACTGCCCATGCCCCTGTAAATGTTCCCACAATCATTTCCAAACAGCACTAATTAGACTCTGGAGCTATTAATAATATTCTTTTTAAAGACCATGAACTCAAGTGGGAGATATGTTGATGGGCCCCAAGGGTATTGGAGGGAGGTGGTGTGGAGTGGATAAGATTAAAATGCATTAAATACTTCTATGAAAATTTCAAAACATAAACTATTATGGAAAGACAAAGATGATTTTGTTCTCAGCAAACAGAGACTTAGAAACAGGTCAGCTCTGTAACCTGTAGCTTCTGGTTTAGGTTCTCTGGGCCTCACCTAGTCCCTGGCAGTAGTGGGTCATCTCTAAAGAGTCTTTAAGAACACCATTGCCACACTATTCTTGACATGTATCTGCCTTTGAGGAGTCTGGTGGATCCTGAGTAGCTACTGCTAGCTTCTTGTTCCTTCTGTCTCTGCTGTGACAAAATGCTTGACAAAAGCAATGTAAGAAGGAAAGGAAGGGGTAGTTTGAACTCAGTTTGAGAATGTAATCCATCATGGCAGCAGAGGTGTGAGGTGACTGGTCACATGGCTTCTACAGTCAGGAGGCATAGAGACGAACACTGGCTCTCTGTCAGCCCAGGAACCTGGTTTATAGAAAGAGTTGCCTCCATTTAGCGTGAATCTTCACTAACTACCTAACCCACTCAAGAAAAATCCTGATATACATGCTCAGAGATTTCTTTCCTTGGATATTCTAGATCTTGTGAATTTGATAATCAAAAGTTCCTATAACAGTAAATAAGGGAAAATAAGGCAGGCAAAAGCTGTGGGTTTGCGTTTCCTGATGACGTGTAGTGTGTTCATCTTCCCTGGTTTTAGAACATTTGCCCACAGTGTTTCAGTCATCAAAGACATGCCCACGCTGCATGCCAGTCAGACATAGTTCCAACTCTGATCTGTGAGTGGATGGAGATGGAGGCCGCTTGTTCTTTTCCCAGCCACTTAGCCCCACAATAATCACACAGAAACTGTATTAATTAAATCACTGCTTGGCCTATTAACTCTAGATTCTTATAGGCTAGCTGTTACATCTTAAATTAACCGATTTCTATTATTCTGTGTATCACCATGTGATTGTGGCTTACAGGGTAAAATACTTGCACGTCTGTCTCTGGCAGAGGCTACATGGCTTCTTACTAACTCCACCTACTCTCTTCTCTCTCTCTCTCTCTCTCTCTCTCTCTCTCTCTTTCTCTGGATAT